ACATTTGGATTACCCCCAAGTTAGGCGCACCACTACCATTGTTCTGATTTGGCACTGCACCATCCCTTGGTTTGAAGTAGAGGGACCAGAAAGTGGTTCTATCCCTTGATTCGGATTTAGGACTGAGGGATTATGTCCCACAATTGTCCTACTTTGAAAGTGGTTTGCAAGAGGCATAACCGGTTGACATATTTGGCCTACTAACTTATTTATTATTTCGTTCAAAGTGTTTAGTTGTTTGGCCATGTTGTCATAATGTGCATTCCCATTTTGGGTAAATCTTTCCATATTATGAATATTTCAAAGATTTACCTATTCAACGACATCTTGTGTGAGTTCTCCAAGTAGTGCACGCATAGTTCGAGGACTCAACTCTGTCATTGGTTCATAACGACTGTTATTGCTCTGATTCTGTCCATCTATTCGTGGAGAGGCATGCTGCTCCTCATATCGCTCGATCACAGATTGGATTCCTCCCTGACTTGCTGCTTCCTTATCGGATCTCTAAAGCATATTGTTTCACTTTTTGTATTTTCAACACCAAACACCACTGTCCCACTGGGCGTGCCAAATTGTTTCGCGCGGGTTCGTCGCTAACAATTAAAAGGGGATCAGACGATTGTGTAAAAGACAAATCTCTTGAGATAAAGTCCCAAAAAAGGGTGTTCTTTATTGGCGATATCTTTACAATCGGAAAGTAAAAACAGAATGCCTCCAAGGGGCGCAAGCACACGAGTTACTGAAAGAAGTGTTTAAATCTAAACTAAGAAATTTAAAATTACAAGTTCTCTATTCGAGAGTTTTTTTATTCGGGTCTTTTTGCTCTATGTCTTTTCTTCCTTTTATACTCCCTGGATGATCTCTTTGTGATCAACCGCCTAAAAACTACTTAATCGTTCTATAACTGCTCACTTTTCTTGTAATGACCAACTTGTCATGGAACTGCTTTTTTTAAGTGGTGTCATTACTCTTTGTCGTTCAACCGTTTTCGATTGAATTCCTTGAATCGTGGAACGTGATAGGGCTGCTTAATAACTGCTTTTGATAACAGCGCTTCTTAATAACCACAACACTTCATGTTTGCTAAGATTTTGGGCGACTCGAATATTTGGACGAGAATAGAGTAGCAGTTCTGGGCGACTGCATGGCACTTCATGAACAAGAAATTTTACGATTTGCAAGCTTGGGCTATGGTGTTACCGCGTTTATGGGTTTCCCTATTTGGGCATTCATTCTGAATTGTCCGATTGAGCTTCGTTCTTTGGGCTATATGATTTGGGGATCCTCCAATTGGGCTTCATTCCTTGAACCGTTCGATTTGGACTGAATTTTTATGTGTCAACAGTATGTATTTTTTAGAGTTTTGTTGAGAATGAATATTTAATTCTATGATGCCCTCCCACATCGCGACTTGAAACACCTTTTAATGTTGATTAATGATTACGAGATGCGATATTGTGTTCTGATAGGATCAAATTGGATTGCCCTTGTTTATCCCCGATGAAGGTACTTGAAATACTAAACAATTGACATTTGGTAAATCTTCGATAGATTAGAAATATCCCTGGATTGAGAATATATACTTTCTACTCAGACCATTTTTAATTCTCTATTAATAATGTTTCAACTCTTTAATTTTCAAATACGATTGTTAAGAACAAAGAAGGGGATCGATCGACGGCATTAATGTGTTATCCTCGTCCCCCTACTTTTAGTGAAAGTTTTTACTGCTTATAACATAAGTTGCTTTCTCAGTGATATGAAATTTTTGAAATAGTGCAGGAGTGTAGTTTCTTTCTTCTTATTATTTCACATTCAATTGCCTTCAACTATTAAATTCAAAATTGTTTGAATATTGGCTTAATCCTTTATTTGATTGTCAGCTGCAAAATTGTTGTATAGCGATGCCTCCTAAAGGCTTAGTCATGCTCAGGATAACTCGACAACGTCACATTTTATTGAAATTTGAATAACATTTGACGTTTCTTTCAAAATGTCAAAAGATTTCTAAAATTTAAATCCACACCAATGAAAGATGCATTATTTTCACCATAGTGTGAAACAAATATATAACCGTCTAATATGTCTTTTTATGGGATTCTCTCTCTATAGTTGAAATCTTATAGTAATGTGGTAATATGATATTTGAAGTATGTTATGTAATATAATTTTAGTTAAGAGTTTCGTTGGATGGTTGGAAATGTTGACTTTAATAACAAATTTTGGAACATATTTCATATAGTTTCTTTTTATTTTATTTTATTTTATTTTATAACGGAGGAACCCGCAGTCACTACCCTTCGGGTGCGCATTGAATAAACTTTCGGATTGACGCAATAATCTGCAAATCACGCCAACCAAGTAAATCGCATTAAACAAACCCGGTGCGACAAGCTCGACCTAGAAAGTTTTTGTAAGGGGAATTGAACTCGTAACTATATTTCATATAGTTTTAAAAATGAGTAAAATAAAATAACTCTAGTTACAGAAAAAAATAATTTCCATCCCTGACAAGAACAAAAATTAACTTGGAAGTATATTTTCCACGATAAATAAGAAAAATGCCCCTCACGAAATGTTTTTATTCCAAGTAAATTTTAATTAGGATTATATTTATTTCCTCATTTCGAATTTTAAAAAAAAATCCAAAAATTCATTCCATCATAATTTGCATATTTAGCCTTTCAGTTAAAGAGAGTGTTAACTTATTTTATGATTAAAAAAAAAAAAAAAAGAATCTCAACACGTTGAACTATCCATATTTGGTGGAAATTTCATATTTGTACAAAGCGTTTCTACGCCCGTGTACATATAGCACGACCTTGGTGCCATCTCAATAATGCATGGGGACCATTATCGAATAATTTAACATTAGTTGGCAGAGCACTATGGAAATTTTGACTTCTTGGCTCCCATCTCATCAATCAATTTTCTTGTACCTGATTGAACAACTCCTAAGTCCTAACATACCAGCAGTTGAAATGATGAAAAATTGAAAATGAACTCTCCGTCTCCCATGGTAAAGGTAAAAGTGAAAATGTCAAAATTCATTTCTTAGTTTTGCTATATTTACGTCGGGATTGACACTTCAATCATCCAATGTACACTACTCTCACGAGAGGGGCTCAAGCTTAGCATTTTTCTCCATTTCTTGAGACACGTGTTGCGCATTAATTGACAGGATAATTTGACTGAATATTTTTAAAAAATCCGCCAATTCTGAAGCATCAACTTAATAATAATCTAATTATTATTAGCATCTTCAATGAATATTTTTTTTCCCTCTAGGTCTAGATAAAGAAGAATGAGCGAAAAAGTGGATTAATTTCATTTTTGGTCATTAAACCTTTAGGAAAACCCAATTGTGTCAACTGACTTAATTTTTTGTAAATTGTTAGTTTTAATTTACTCGATTATTTGTCCTTAGCCTCGTTATTAAACTTAAAAATCTCAATCCACAGTTACGTCGTTTTTTAGGTAAATTTGTCATCTAATAATGTTATAAACACAAAATCTTGAAATTTATAGAAAGAAAAAGAACACGGGAATACCATGGAACATGTTGAAGTTCACTGCACGGTTTTGGGCTGTCGAAGAGCATCTATTATACTTTAACTTGATTGAACCTTGCTCAAGTTTTGAATAATTTTGCAATTTTTTACCTATTGGTTCAGACTTACTTTGAATGCTACCGTGCAACTTTTTCAATTTAACATGGTTACAGATAACTATGAGACAAATTAATTTAAAGCAATACTCCCATCTAAATATAAGGAGCAAAATAATGTTAAAGAATAAGGAATTATAAAAAATAAAAAAAATTGTAACTTTGAAAACATTTACGGTTTACCTTACATTTGACGATTATAATCAAGCGCGTGTCTGGACGCACTAGTTTGGAAAAAATCAAATTTTCTGTCAACTCAGCAGCCCCACTCGCAAAAAGAAAAAGCTGCTGCTGTTGTGCAAATATTCATAAAGTAACGGATTTTTCAAAAGAAAAATGAATGGTGTACCGAAATTTTTTTTTTTTATAGAACGTGTACAAACTCTCACAAAGATATGAATCCCATATAAATAAATAATATTAAAAAATTAACCTACCCTCGTACTCCCACCTCTCATGTGAGGTGTTGGTAAGGGTCCTGTAAACTCTTACCCTATACACCTATCATCACTGTTTTCAAAATCAGAAGTCCATTCTACACCTTTTGTTATTGCATGTGAATAATTTACAGGAAATGAATGGGAGGCAAAATTGGCAATTGATCCCCAGAAAATAATCACTCCCAGGTAGGGGCCAAAATTTAAATCTAAAATTAAAATTAATTAATTTTAATTATATATTTTATGAGATTCACAATTCTCAATTACGTATGTTATTCACTTTTATCAAAATTTATTAAGCTTTTGTTTGTCATTCATTCTATCACATTATTTTTTTTACAGTACTCATTTTTAACAACACATTCTTCATTAAAATAATATTACACATAAATAAAAAAAAATTTAATCATATATTTCAACATTAATCACTATTTCATACTATAATTTTTGAAATTAAAGGACCACAAACAAGGCCTAAAGTTTGATCTATATCCCTATTGAATAGGGGCTTAATAATATTTATAAATACAAATATACTGAAATGGAGTAAAATGGTGAGTAAGTGATTAAGAAAAACAAAAATATCCTTATCCTCTAGAAGCCTACAATTACAGAAAACATCTCGTCAAATGTCACATTCAAAGCTTATAGCCGTGTACTAACTATTTTGACTTTTTTTAATCGCTAAATAGTGCAGGCTCGATCTCATTTCTTCCTCGTTAAAATAAAAAATATGATCGTTATTTATTATATCAAGCTATCAAATTTGAATTTTTATCTCTTATGCGAAACTCATAACGACTATATTTTTCATTTTCATTCTAACAAAAATGATAAACAAACGGGGGCTATATATTATAATTTTTAAGATTCCACTCTTTGACAAACATAACTATTCTTAAATTTTTATTGATGTTATCAATAATTTCATATTTTAATTATAGACTACAGGTATTAATACTGACTTAAAATCTATATACATAATTGATGATCAAGGGTGGGTGGGCCGAGCAGTTCTACAATGAGGGGAATCTCGATCGAGTCAATAAGTCCATTCTTGCGGTAGTTGCATTTCCTCGTTCTCGTTCTTGTTGGTCGTCAATAGGTCTTTGATCAATTGTACTTCTCTATCAATATGCGAAGATTCATTTCCATGTAAATCTGCATCCACACAATCACTATCAATCTATCATTCATAATTGACACTCTTCATTACCTAGTAATTTCGAATTCATAACTTGATATTTGTAATAGATAAGTTGGGATGGGCCGACTGTTGAGATAGAAAGGATACCAATTATATTTAAATCGAATCAACTAAGAAATGGGAAGATGACTTCATATTTTTTAATTTTTTTTCCACATTGATATATTACANTATTTCCTTCTAGTTCAGTACGAGAAATTACCATTTTTAGGGCCAAAGTGTCACTTTCCAAACAGTTGAGGGACCATATTGAACATTAAGAAATTACCTGATCTCTTGTTGTGCCCAGCTGAGACGCTGGATCCACGAGGCAAGAAAACACCAGTACCACCAGACCCGTTACTTGATCCGGATCCACCCAGAAATACAGCCCTCATACCCGACCCATAATAATGCCCATTTTCCCAGTTCCACCGCTGCTTTGTTTGATAAAACTGTTTCCGTTGAGGTGACTCGCTCCCCCTCACTCTTCTTCCGCATGCAGCACGGCCTTGTTTTCCAACTGTAGCTTGATTTTTCAACTGATAACAAACCCAATAATTAGTCAGAAAAATTTTCCGATAAATAAGATGGAAAAAAGTTGAAACATACGTTAGATTCATCAGAACCGCAGTTGGAAAATGAGTTATATTCATCTTCCTGAAGCATAAGCTCAGCCATTTGACGAGCCAACTCGGCAAAGAAGTCCTCATCCTCGCTTCCAGAAGTTTCGGTTGAGTCAAGCTCAGAACCAAATGGTGAACTCAAACCGGACAAAGAAGAGTTCCCTTTTGAACCAAAAAGAGTTTCAGCGCTTGGAGTTGAGGCCATATTTCGTTGGCCTTTGAACAAATCAGAATAGAGCAACTTGTTCTTGCCAGTACTTAATTCAGAAGCCATATTCCACTGACTTCTATAGGGTGGAAGGGAGAAATAGAAGCAAGAAGAATCTGGCTGAATCTGGCGACAGTGGAGTTTTTGACGTTTTGAAGATTCCAAATGGGTAATTGGCACGTCCCTATCGTTTGCTTTTATTACATAATTGTTTATATAATTTCTACTGGGGTTCATTCAAAGGGTTAATTATATGAATGGTCACTGAACTTTGCCCTTAGTCACCGACCTAAAAAACGTAATTTAATGTTTACTGAAATTCGTCAAGTGTTACTACTTCATAATCGAACTTTAAAATGTATCTCAATGGTCATCGAACTTTGCACCATGTTACCCATCCGTCACTCAAATAGAAAAATTGGTTAAGTCCAATAAACGGCGTCAACTTGAGTGACGGATGAGTAACACGGTGCAAGGTTCAGTGACCATTGAGATACATTTTAAAGTTCGGTTATGAAGTAGTAATACTTGGCGAAGTTCAGTAACCATTGAGTTACGTTTTTAAGTTCAGTGACTAAGTAGTAACATAATTGAAAAATCAAATTGATCTCAGTTACATTGGCACTGTTCGAACATTTTTGTACTTTTATTTAATTTTTCTTTGTCAATTTCATTTAGTATTCCAATTGTTTCTCTTTTTCAATCTATTTATGCGGAGTTTGAGATATGGTGAACTGATATCAGTTGATCAAACGTACTTTTTCATCACGATGGATGAATATTAGCACAATTCTATTTTTATTTAATTTATACGTCTATGATTTTCTGTTTCCTCTTTTTTCCCTTCATTTTCTTTGATTTCTTCTTTCATAGAGGTCGATTTGAGAAGTTTAGCCCTTGTTTGATCCCCAATTTGAGGAAAATGAATTTTTAAATAGTATATTGATGGGAAATGTGTAGTTAAAAAATAAAAAAAAAATTTGAATTTGCATGTAATATTATTTTATTGAAAAATGTGTGATTGAATAATGTCAAATCACTATTTAATAATGTATTTTTTTTTAAAAAAAGAATTGGACTCAAACAAGGGCTTAATAATTTAATTTTAAAATATATCTTAATGGTCAAAACTTTGCCCTATGTTACTACTTAGTCACTGAACTCAAAAACGTAATTCAATGGTCACTGAACTTCGTCAAGTGTTACTACTTCATAACCGAACTTTAAAATGTATCTCAATGGTCACCGGACTTTACACCGTATTACCCATCCGTCACTGAAGTTGACGCCGTTTTTGGATTTAACGGATTTTTCCATTTGAGTGACGGATGGATAACGTGGTGCAAAGTTCGATGGCCATTGAAATACATTTTAAAATTCGGTTATGAAGTAGTAACATTTAGCGAAGTTCAGTGACCATTGAATTAAATTTTTAAGTTCAATGACTAAATAGTAACGTAGGGCAAAGTTCAGTGACGATTCATATAATTAACCTTTCATTCAAAATAGTAAAAAGACAAGGACGAATCTCTCCCACCCACATCTCGCGAAGAATGAAGTCATATGTCAGGAAAATAAAAGTAGAAAAAATTTGTGAATCTCGGAGCGAACCTTTCACTCATCCAGATTGGATACACATGGGCAAGTAAAGAATGAAAAAACCAATTGTACAGAAAATATGTGTACTGAAGTCATACAGATACTCACATTAAAGGTGAATCTATGTAAATTAAATATTGTCAAAAAAATTGGGCCCCACATGTTTGTATGTATTCTAGAGGGCTTCCTTCTGTACACACAGTGTAGTCCAGTAAAGAAATCATGTTATTATTAACAGAATTAGTTATAAACTAGCCAATAAATGGCCCTGTCTTTTTTCTAAAATGATCGAACTATCCTAAAAAGGTCGAAGGAAAATCTTTAAATACCCCTCGTTCGAAGAGAAAATCATGCAATTCAAATATTTTCTCCTCAAATAATTTTTTTCCCTCTTTTACTTCAAGTTTGAGCATCGAACCCAGAAAGTTTAAAAGGTGAAAATTATAATTAGGTGTGAGAATATGTTGATCCAAATTTTACCATCAAGTTCAGTGATCCATCAAATGATCGTGTGTAATCAACTCTATGATTTGTAGAATGACATTTTGGTCAAGACGTTAATACACCATCTTTTATGGCCTAGTCTTGGTGAAAACATAATTGTTTCCGTTTGCGCTATATTTTCATGGTTAGAGATGTATGGCCCTGTCCAAACAAGCGGCCAATAGGGGGCGTCAATTCAACCCCCTAGATGGACAGGGAGCAAAGTCCCATTTTCATACATTTACGAATGAAATCTTTTTAGTTAATATGAGTATGTCAACCTAGTATTTTTATAATGATCTCGTCTTATTTATTAACCTGAGTAGACATGTCAAATGTCAAATATTTATTAAAAATAGAAAGACCAGGAATCTCAACTTTCATAGGATGACATAATAAAGAATGATACTCAATTAAGGGGGTCAGTTGTCATTTTCTTCCAATTGGTATCAGCTAGTTGGCAGTTCTATTTCAACTCTATGGGGAAAGTAACATTATTATTAGTCATAAATCTATTATCTAAAAAAATATGAAATTAGTCTTACAAGAGGACAAATGGGAATTTCTTTAAAGCGATTTAAGTTTAGGGGAAAAACAGCACTCTAGTCGGCTATACACGATTTATTTTGACCGTGACAAAAGTTTAGTACAATGAGTTTATCTTGAAGTATATTGGACATAATCAAGGTGTAAATACTATAGCATGATCGCATACAACTTAGCTTCTGTTTGATGGTCATTATATTTATAAAGAGAAAATGCTATTTTGAATAATAATTTTTTGGAAAATGTGTGGTTAAAAGTAGAGGAAAATTGAGGTTTATGTGTAGAATATTTTATTTTATGAATTAAATGTATGATTAAAAATGAATATGAGAAATAAAATATTTTAGCTTAAAGAGAGTCAAATATGGGCTTAATATACACTTGATTGTCGTGGTGGATAAAGAAATTTAAGTGAACTAGAGTAGATTTAGACGAGTGGATGGTCGTTCGAACGATCTCCCAATAAATGTCAAACAAATAAAATAAAATTCATTAAAGTCAGTACGGGGTGGCCACCATGATTCACGAGATGGTGACTTCGTCCTTGCTTTATTGACTTGTGACTGCAAGGCCAAGTTCGCCAGGAAAAGGGTCTACAGCTACTTACTGCCGCCAAAATGGCTGCAACTTAGAAACTAATGAATTTTACTGTTCAAACAGGGGCCTCGAAATTTAAATTTTCACCACCTCAGCCCTGCCACAGGGTTTGTGACAACCCTGTTTGTGTAGCATTATTCAGTACTAATTTGATTAACCAGAACTAGAATCTTAGCACCTTTCTCGTAATATTTCCTTTCAATCAATTTTGGCCTATAAATTTTGTTCGTAGTTACTAAGATTTTATTCAAGTTATCTCAATTTTATTTTCAATTTCATCTCTATGTCACATCCGATCATCGAGATGGCGACATGACCATCAATTACGAGGAAAATCTTTTATCCTCGCTGAGCTCATATTTGATCCATTTTTAAAACTCCTTTTTCCCTCAAATTTATTATCAACTACGCATTTCATATGCTCTACAATTTTTATAAATTTTTCAATTACATGTATTGTTATGCCCCTATCTGAACCACCTCGGAATATCCATCACAAGGCACTCAGATCTGCTAGACACCCACTCGAAGTGGTTCCGAAGTGATCTCTCCAATGTTAACAACCTGCTATCACACTGCGGACCACAGACAATTCTGCCGAACTGATCGAAGCGCCTTCGCCCATGATGTCGAGGCGAAGTGCACTCCGGGAACCTTTGTTAGAAGATACGTCGCTAATTTCAGAAAGAGATCTTTGCCAAGATCCTTTCTGCCCCTAAAGTTTAAATTGATTTGACGTCTCCATGAGGCTAGTTGATGTGACTTATCAACTTTATATCAACTCAACTCGGGAGAAACAATTACCCGCCCACTCTACAGACGCGGCTGATTGATGCCTATGAGCAGACACCTCATACCGTCAGATGTATACATGTGCCCTACATTTAACGGTTCATCCCACCTATAAATACCCAAGGGTCGGCAAGGTGTAAAGGTAATAAAACTCTTACTAGATAGCACTCCATAATAAGCATATATATATTTTTCTCCTCCCCTTTATTATTTTGTACAACCCCTGGGTACTGTTTCGACCACCCGAACCTAACTTGACCGTCGGAGTATATACGGTCGTCGCCACCCCCGCTGGTCCCAACCGTGTGCATCTGACCGTGTGTTGATTGTGCGTAGGGAGGAATACGTGGAGTAGCTCTCGGTTGACCACGTGGAAGGTCCAATTATCGAGGTCAACAGATTGGCGCCGTTTATGAGAAACATTTCCCGTTCAAAGTTCTGCATTCTCCATCGGAGAGATCACCGAAAAACTAGCGACTAACCCTGAAAAGGACATGTTCTTGAAAAAGAACAAAGTCGAGTTATAATCCAAGTCCTCACCACTCTTCAAAAAGGAGATAGGATGAGTTATAGCCATGAAGACGACAACCCTATGAGAGAGGCCTCTGAAGAGGAGGTGCTCCATAACAATGTTACTCATCAGAGACCCCATCACCGGCGTTGCCGAGGTGGAAGAACAATCATGCTCACCGAAGGAATGGCTCAAATAGCTGCGGGCATGAGAGACATCGCAGCTCAGAATATGGCGATGCGTGAACTCCTCATGCAAGCCCAAGGTCACATGGTTATCAAATGCCCCAAGGATCTTGCCCAGTGTAGGAAGCCCCAGTGTCTCGTTCCCGAGGCCATACCAGTCAGCACAGAGAACGCCCCCTCGAAAGAGAAGTGGGCGCCGAATCCACATCTTATGTGCAAGGGAACCAGCTATCAGAACCAGACTTGGGGGACAATTTCCCTCAAGAATATGAGGAATAGAGGTCGGTAATCGTCTTCGACCGGATAGGGGAGGATCCTAGCAATAGGGTCTGCCCAGTGAGAAGATCAGTTCGACCAGATTAAGAATAAAAATAGGCTCCTCCTCCTCCTAGAAATAGGAGGGACAGGAGGAACCTAGTCGATTGGGGAAGTCAAGGAAAAGCATCTCCTTCTCCCCAAAACATTCAAGATGATGAAGGGTCAGATGGGCCCTGTCGGTCTTATGAGATCAACGATGATGATGAAAAACCTCCCTTTCTTACTTAAGGGAGATCCGAAACTTCCCAATGCCAGCAAATTTCATGCTCCCTAATATCCCCAAGTATGAAGGAAAGGGGGACTCGGAGAAGCACCTCACCAAGTATATGACACAAATAAATCTCAGGGGAGCCTCGCCTGCTTTGAAATGCAGAGCTTTCCATTTAACACTAGGTGGAGCCGTCGAAATTTGGTACAGCAGGCTTCCTTCCCTAAGCATTAGAAGTTGGCCCGATTTGAAGAAGGCATTCTTGAATCAGAACCTCTCGTGAAGAGAATGAGAGGCCTCAGTGCAACGCCTGCAAGACATGACGTAAGCCCCTGGAGAGACGCTGAAAAACTATCTATATAGGTTTACGGACGAAATCACATACTGCGAACATGTCACTGACAGAGAAGCCTTCTAACCCTGAAAGGCGGCCTCAACATGAACACTTTGTTCTGGAGGGACGTGCGTAGCAAGAATCCTTCCACCTATGAGGAACTTGTGGAAATGATGAGAGTTGAAATCGTGAGTGAAAAAATGATTGATCACCAAAATCGTGCCGCGCAAGGACTCCCACCGCCTCAGAGGCAGGTAGGTCGAGGACCCGCAGCACACCTTGTTACTCAACAATGGATTCAAGCAGGTCATACCATAGTTCACACCTCCGGACAGGCTCTGGCTTTCGCCACATTGAATGCAGTGTAGGTGTTGGCATATGAGAATGCTCCTACCGAAGCGGGACCATCAGGAAGAGCTGATAGTAAGAAGAAGAAGAAGAAAAGGTCAAGCAGGCCCTTGGAAAGGGCAAGGTTTTGCACATTCCACCAACTCTATGAGCATGACACTAGTGAGTGCCGAGACACTAATCGACGCCCTGATCGGAGCAACCCATACCCTTCTAGCAGGAGCGAATATCCTCGCAGATCTGCCTCCCTGAACAAGGAGAAGAGAGGGCATAGAGGGCAATCACCTCGGAGAAGAGAATCCAGGGACCGAGGTCAGTCTACACAGAGAGATCAGGCCCCATTCTCTGGGAGCCAAGTTATCAGGGAAATCGACACAATCATTGGGGGACCTCACATTGGTGACAACACCAGGAACGCCCAAAGAAATTACACGAGGGAAGCAAAGGACCCATCAATGATTACCTACATTGTCAACGAGTCTCAAGCAGCCGATAGGATGACCCCAATCACCTTCTCCCAGGAAGATGCAAAGGGGGTTCACCACCCCCATTGTGATGCGCTGGTTGTAAGAACCATAGTGGCTAGAAACGAACTGAAACGCATGCTCGTCGACAATGGAAGTTCGGTGAACATATTGTTCGGCTTCACCTTTGACAAAATGCAGATTGAACATGGGTTGATCCCCATGACCGACCACTATTCGGATTTACTGGGGATAACATCGTCACACGAGGGCGGATCACTCTGCCCATCGAGATGGGTTCGGCACCCCTAGTGGCCCAACACTTCATGGAATTCTTGGTGGTAGACCATAGATCGGTCTATCATGGAGTATTTGACAGACCCACTTTGAAAGATCTTTGGGCCGTCATGTCCATCCACTACTTGTGTATGAAATTCCCAACTGAACATGGGATTGCAACGGTCTCAGATGGGCTCCAGGGCATGCTACTTAAACTCGCTACGAAAGTCGGAGCCCCGAACTGTTAATGTAATTCTAACGGAGGTTCTCACTGAAACAAATACAGACGTGGAAATGCTCGATGCCCCTGAACAAAGGCATACCTTTGAGCAAGAGGAAGACGTCGACATGGAAGAGGCCCCTGAACAAGGGCACCCTCTTGATGAGTTAGATCCCCGAATAATTGACCCTGAACTAAATGCAACCCCAATGGAAGAACTGGAAACTTTCTCCTCCAACCCAGAAGACCCCAGATAGGTCTTGCGTATAGGGAAGGCACTGTCCCCCGAAGTAAAAGAAGAGATGATAAGTTTCCTGAAAAAGAACTTGGATGTCTTCACTTGGAAGCATGAAGAAATGGTGGGAATAGATCCAAGGATCAGTTGCCATAATCTTAACATCAACCCCTCTTATGCCCCCCATCGACAGAAGAAACGTGCCCTCAATCCGGAGAGGTACGAGGCACTGAAAGACGAAGTGAACAAACTTACCCGCAGTGATTTCATAAGAGAAGCCATCTACCCGAAGTGGATATTCAACCCGGTCCTGGTGAAAAAACCCAGCGAAAAGTGGAGGGTATGCGTAGACTTCACAAACTTGAACAAGGTGTGCCCTAAAGACAGCTTCCCACTTCCAAGGATAGACTAACTTGTGGATTCCACTACTGGACACGAACTGCTAAGCTTCATGGATGCATACTCAAGGTACAACCAAATACCCATGTTCCGACCTGATGAGGAAGCTACGTCATTTATTACGGACAGAGGTATGTACTGCTACAAAGTCATGCCCTTCGGATTGAAGAATGCGGAAGCTACATATCAGAGGCTCGTCAACATGATGTTTGCCGAACTCATTGGCAAAACCATGGAGGTCTACGTGGACGACATGTTAGTCATAAGCCTCCGGGCAGCCGAACACGTAAGTCACCTCGACCAAACTTTTCAGATACTTAGAAAGTATAAGATGAAGTTGAATCCCCTCAAATGCACCTTCGGAGTGGCATCGGGTCAGTTCTTGGGATATATTGTTAATCAAGGGGGAATTGAAGCAAATCCAGTGAAAATAAGGACCTTGCAAGAGATGAGGTCACCTCAGAAACCAAAGGAGGTCCAAAGCCTCAATGGTCGGATAGCCGTACTTGGTTGCTTCATCTCCAGAGCCACAGATAAAAGTTTATCTTTCTTCAATGTGCTTAAGTAAGGAAAGAAGTTTCGGTGGACTTCTGAATGTGAGGAAGCCTTCCAGGCGCTGAAAAAGCACCTCGGAGAGGCACCCCTCCTGTCGAAACCTCAACCGGATGAATCACTACTGCTATACTTAGCGATTTCAGACGTGACGGTCAGTGCCGTCCTAGTCAGAGAAGAAAGTGAGCGCCAGCTGCCAGTGTACTACATCAGCAAAGCACTTCTCCCAACTGAAACACGCTAGCCAGACATGGAGAAAATGACACTCACCTTTATCACTGCCTCAACAAAACTAAGGCCATACTTCTAGGCCCACTCAATCGAAGTTCTTACCAATTTCCCATTAAAGCAGGTGATGCAAAAAACAGACGCATCAGGACGCCTGCTAAAATGGGCAATCGAGCTCAGTGAGTTCGATTTATTGTTTCGATCTCGACATGCCATCAAGGGCTAGGCCCTTGCAGATTTTATGGTTGAGTTTGCCAAAACCCCAGAAATGGAAGCTACAATGGAACCAGTCAAGCCCCCCACAGGGAAACTTTTCGTTGGTGGGTCCTCAGGAGAGACTGGCTTCGGGGCAGGGATCGTCTTGGAAAGCTCGGAAGGCCACAAGCTAAACTGCGCAGTAAGGTTTGGCTTCAAAGCCTCGAACAACGTCCCTGAATACGAGGCCCTTCTAGCATGTCTTAAACTTGCTAAAGAGATGCAGGTCAGAAGGCTCCTGGCGAGCAGCGATTCTCAACTTATAGTGAATCTAGTCAATGGGAACTTCGCGGCCAAGGATAGTAGCATGGTTGCATACTTGAAGTTGGTTCTGGACCTGGTTCCTCATTTTGAAAGGTTCGAACTGACTCAAGTCCCCCACCTAGAAAATACACATGCAGACGCCCTTTCAAAACTGGCCAGCAGCAAGGATTCAGAGCCACTAAAGGTTGTCCCTATTGAGCACTTGTCAAAGCCCTCCACTTCCGGAGGTGAAGAGGTACTATGGATAGAAGGCACCCCATTATAGATGCAGCCTATCATCACCTATCTAAAAGATCAATCCCTGCCTACCTCTAAAAGCGAGGCGCGAAAGTTAAGAAAAAGGGCTGCACACTTTGTCCTGAAAGAAAATAGTCTTTACAAGAGAGGCTTCGCTTTGCCACTTCTCCGATGCGTGGGAGGCGAAGAAGCCACATACATACTCAGTGAGATCCATGAGAGAATCTGCGAAAATCACTCTCGAGGAACGGCTCTAGCACACAAGGTTCTCCATCAAGGCTACTTCTGGCCGACCTTGAAAAGGGACGCTTGTCAGTTTGTCCAGAAATGCGACAAGTGCCAGATCTTCTCAAATATTCAGAGACAGCCTTTTCAGAGCCTCTCCGTAGTAACCAACCCCTGGCCATTCGCCAAGTGGGGCATAGACTTTATTGGTCCACTCCCAAAAGGAAGAGGAAGCACAACTTTCGCCATTGTCTCCATTGACTACTTCACTAAGTGGGTCGAGGCTGAACCCCTTGCCAAGATCACCGAGGCAAACACTACTAAATTTGTCTGGAAGAACATCATTTGTAGGTTCGGCATCCCCCACTCCTTAGTGTCCAACAATGGAAGACAGTTCAACAACAGGAAGATACGAGAATTATGCGAAGAGCTATGCATTAAGAAGGACTTCTCAACGCCTCATCACCCTTAGGCAAACGGACAAGTTGAGGTTGTGAACAAGACTATCAAGCACACCCTAAAAAGGAAGCTTGACACCTCAAAATGGGCTTGGGTGGACGAGCTTCCCCACGTCCTCTGGGCCATCGAAACACCTAGCCAAACTGCAACAGGGAAAACACCATTCTCAATGACCTACGGGGCCGAGGCCATGAGCCCGGTCGAGGTCAGGGTCCCATCACACCGTCGGATACACTTCAATGAGATCAGGAACGACGAGGCTCGAATAAGCGAACTCCACCTCCTTGAAGAAAGGAGGGATGCTTCCCAAGTGAACTTGGCAAAATATCATCGAAATATGACCCGCTATTATAACTCCAAGGTCAAAAACAGAACTCTTCGCTTGGGGAACCTCGTCCTCAGAAGGGTCTTCCAACCTTCGAAACCAATGGGGTCCAGAATGTTTGGACCGAACTGGGAGGGCCTTTACACATCCACAGAGAATCCCGACCTGGCGCGTTCAAAATTGAAGACATGGCAGGAAAGACACTACCTCATCAATGGAACATCGAACACTTGAGGAAGTACTATTAATGATGAGCCTTTGTTCCAATCCGATCTCAATACTATCTAATGAATGGGTGTTCTGATCTGATCTTAGTTGTAAATTCCCTAGCTTACTAAGTGCTGAAATTGCCTTGATAAAGCGTGATGTAATTTGTTAAAGTAATGAAACTTCGGTTCAGTGCCACATCGGTTAGTGAATTGTTTCCTCAGTCCTTCAACATGTTTACTTAGGTGATCCGATCTCAAATTGTTAAATGATTAACGATAAGAGGCACTTCATGTTTACTTAAGTGATCCACTTCATATTAACTTAAGTGATCCGATCTTCTGTTATTAACTGGTTATTGCTAAGGACGCTTAGTCTTGAGTGTTCATACAAGGGTAAATAGATTAACATAATAAAATAGCAGAAGCATCAATACTTAACAAAATATTTCATTTCATTTACTTCAATTCAAAATACAAAAAAGGCCGAAGCCATTACAAGAGTTGGCCCTATTCTACCGGAGGGTCTTCTTGGGCCGCTTCTACCTCAACCGCCTCCGGAACTTCTTCGGCAAGCCTGTCAGGCTGGCCTCCAGTTGGTCCCCTAAACTCTGACTCCAAAGTGGAGATGTCCAGAGTGGGGTGGACCTCTTTCAGCCGGCCCAGCAAGCCTTGGGCACTCTAGGGGGCCCAAAAGTTGGCAAAGTCGTCGTACAGGGGTGTTCCTCGAAGTGGTCAATGAAATTATGAACTGCCACCTTCCCTACCGACTTCAACTCCTCCTTCAAGGAGGTGATCTCCTCAGATTGAGCCTCCGCCTTTTGTCTCAGCTTCGCCTTTTCTTTGTTTGAGACCTCTAGAGCCTCCGTGGCGAGTCGGTAGTGCTCGTTGGCGTGATCTACTCGTCGAGTCATGGCAGCCACCTGGCACTCCACCTAATATAGTTATTTCTTCAGTTGCTCCACTTCAGCTTTGGTGGCAGATAGCTGGGCCTCGGCCTCTTTCCTACTCTTCTCCTCTTAGGTGGCCTTGGCCCGGGCCTTCCTCACAGCATCCCTATAATGCATCGCCTCCTCGAGGCACTTGGCGAGGTCCTCCCTCTTAGCATTTAAATCCTTCACCAAGCCCTCCAGTTGGATGCTAGTGCTGAGTGCCCGGGCCACGCAGGCACTGTTGGCAGCCACCAGGTCTTCGACCGTGCAGGAAGCGATGTGGTCCTTCGACTCTTCAGTCCAATATTTGTTATGGACCACCGCCACTGCAGCTGTTTTCGGAGGAAGAGTCTCCAACACTTCTTTAACTGGCTCCTCCGATTTCGTGCCCACGAAGTCGACCTCCTTAGAGGGACGGGCCCTTTTCCTCCCTGCTGCCCCGACACTTAGGCAATAGGAACCGCAGCAAGTGGCGAAGTGGCTAGGGTAGTAGCAACCTCTGTTGGTGCAGGCCTCTTATCCGAAATGGCCACCCCGGTTGGAATTGTAGTCTGCGTCAAAATAGGGGGTGGCCTCGCCACAGTTGGGCGTTTGGAAGGGGCAGCACTCTTCTTGCCCTTTCACAGTAGATCCGTCACGGGGTCCTCTGCCACCTCCTCCTCCGTTGGAGGCTGGAGCCTTTTACTGGCGTCCACCAGGTCCTCCCTTTGCTTCTTATAGGTGGAGGAGGAGGTCTTCAGCGCCCACGCCTCTGCCATCATCCTTTTGATGGTCTTGAAGTCGGAACACATGGGCATCTTCTTGTTGAAGTTATCTACAAAGAACAAACAATGAATCAGTACAAGTGTAAAGATTTCAGAAATATGGAAGGGTCGTGTGTAACGAACTGTAGATTTTATCTGATCAGCCGATGGTATGACATCTTCTTCTGAGGCAGCTGATAAATGATGCAAATGGTGTCGAAGTCCTCAGAAGACAGTTCGCACCGAGGAAAAGTACCTTCAAAAGAAATGCAAATGTTAGTCACGATCCGAACCGAAGAGAAATATAAAGAAACGCAACTGCGATACTCACTAAGTGTTGAGTACTTCGTGGGGATTGTAAGAGGCGCCAGGGGGTCCCCATCTATCGTGTCCCATCATCCTGCAGCCCAGCACCATGAGCCCTTCCACTCTTTGATGGAGCTCGGCACATCGAGCACGAATGGAGTATGTGAACCCCATGACTTGATGTAATACCAACCCCGAGTCTTATCCCTCCCAGCTGTCACCTTAGGGATATAAATGGTTTGAAAGATGGAGAAGAGCATCTCAACCCCAAGTGATGCCTCTTTCCACAACATCCAGGAGCCCACCATTTGGCTCCAGGAGTTCGGGTTGAGTTGGGTCGGGGCTAACCCATAGGACCTAATTATCATCCTAAAGAAAGGGTAGATTGGAAGCCTAAGGCCGGCTCTAAGAATTGCCTTACTTATGGCCACACACCCCGGCCTAGGGTAGTAGGCCCTCTCGTCAGGCTCGGGGAGGATCAGATCTATGCTATATGGAATCCTATATTCTACCCCAAGTCTCTCTAGGTTGGCCTCCTTTAGTCTGGAAGGATAATCCGACGCCCCCCAGTGCACAGAAGTGTCAGCCGAGCTATCCGATCTCCTCCATATGTTCTCCCCCCAATAATCGCTTCGGCTATCTCAGAGGAGGTTGCCACAGTGGGCTCGTCCATCCTCACTAATTCTAGCCCCCTCCACGACCCAGAACTTCTCTCAAACGCCATTTTTAAGAAAATAAATATCCTAAAAGATACTGAAACTTTCGAATTCAGAGGGTTCCCATGCCAGAAATGGTCAAAAAATGATGTAAGGTCTCCAAAAATCGATATTTCTCGTCGAAAACGCTCTAAAAACGCCGAAAATCACGAATGGTATGAGAATAAAATAAGTTTTCTATTTGTACAAACGTGAAAAGCTTCAAAGACGCTCAAAGTCCGCCTTTTATAGAATGCTTCAACTGATCTCCACCGTTGAATTCAAATGCAATCAATCTAGGTCGTCCGTTGCATCATCAATCTAGGCCGTTGAAACGAAACGCCAGATTTCATCTACGCCTAAGATCTTGCTGTGACCCTCACGTTCGTATAAAACGCGTCACCTCGATCACCACCAGCCGTTAATAATAAGTAGTCGCAGCAGCCTTTTAGGGGAATGGGCATGGCACCCAACTGTCACCTTGGAAATATGCAATAGCTGTTAAATCATTTAACGTCAGATGTCCGCCTCGGGTCAATCTCCTCACTCAACTTTACAAAGTTTAGACACACCTGACGTGAAGTCCCCTGTGGACCATCGCCTCGGTCGATGCGTTCCCTCCTAGGCTTTACAAAGTTTCAGCCATCTCCCAATGCGTCGTCCCCTGTAGGTCAACGCATCAGTGGTAGATGAGCTCCTCACTCAACTTTACAAAGTTTAGACGAACCTGACGCGGAGTCCCCTGTGGGTAATCGCCTCGGTCGCTGCGTTTCCTCCTAAGCTTTACAAAGTTTCATCCATCTCCCAACGCATCATCCCCTGTGGATCAGTGCATCGGTGGTAGATGAGCTCCTCACTCAACTTTACAAAACTTAGACGCACCTGACACGGAGTCCTCTGTGGGTCATCGCCTCGGTCGATGCGTTCCCTCCTAGGCTTTACAAAGTTTCAGCCATCTCCCAACGCGTTATCCCCTGTGGGTCAGCGCATCGGTGGCAGATGAGCTTCTCACTCAACTTTACAAAGCTTAGACGCACCTAACGTGGAATCCCCTGTGGGTGATCACCTCGGTCACTACGTTCCTTCCTAAGCTTTACAAAGTTTTAACCGTCTCCCAACGCATCGTCCCAAGTGGGT